GGGCTTGAAGTGCAATAGGAAGCCAATCGTACATGCGAAAGGGCTTGCTCGGTTTGCGAGGGACACCGGCCAGGGTGATGAGCATGTAAACGCCGCGTTCTTCATCGAGGAGACTCTCATCCTCGTTCTTCTTGAGGTAGGCCGTGAGGGCCTTGCAGGCCTTGATGACCTGGATGAACGTGCGGCAGCGAGATGAGGGGCTGATGCGCGCGCCGTGGCGTGCACGCCGGCTCGGGATGAAGTACGGAAAACGAACCTGGGCTTGGTCCAACTGCATGCTGCTGCTGTTCTATTACCAGTCCTCACGTCACACGACCGACAAGGAGGACACACCGCTCTTTAGCTGGCACTGCGCCTTGCCAAGACACCTGAATCCCGTGACTCGACCGCTCCGTCTGATAGAGAGAGAGAGAGAGAGAGGGAGAAGGAGAGAGAGAGCGAGAGCGAGAGCGCGCGCGACTCGAGGCACAAAAAAAGAGAGAGAGCGTGAGAGCGCGTGAGAAACTGAAAGAGTGTAGGTCAAATGGGTTCAAGGAATCAGAGAAACGGGTAGTAGGAGGCAATGATCAGAGAAGTGTATTTGTCAGCTTTGATAACAACTGAGAAAAAAAGCATGAGGAAGAGAATTGAGGAGGCAAAGATCAAAATGAGAGCAACAAAGAAAAGAAGACAAATCCCCAGAGATATCGATTCAAACCAGCTCAAAAGGCAGAGATTCCGTCCACGAGCAGTACCTGGAACACGTGCTCTTGGCACTTCTTAAGCTTTAACTGTGATACCAACCACCATGTGTGTGTTCGACTGGCTTGCTTGTCAGACGTTTCCGTTTGTCTGACAAAATGATTTGTCAGACAATTTGCTCTTTCTTTCTTTTCTTGTTATCACATGTGGTACATGTACATGAGTGCTTTCTCTCTTCGCTCTTACCAATTCATCTCCTTCTTTCTCTCTCTCTTTCTCGCTCAATCTGTCTCTCTACTAAAAAGCCGCCTCTGCCTTTTGATGAGCGACTTGCGGTACCCCGGCCGCACCCCGGCTTGGCACGGAGATACATTCGCTTGTGGTCTGCGCCCTTTCCAACGCCGAGAACGAGACAATTGACCAGACTCCCGTCCGCCAGCAGACCAAGCGCTCGAGGCCACACAGCCCGACTCGCCAGACACACGGGCCTACCGTCTTCCATGCATGCATGCACGTACAGCAGTGATGGCGCTTGTCAACGAACCGCTGCTCTGCTCCCCATTCTTCACCCCCTTCGCTCGAGATCTTTGTCAGTCACAGGCCTGGGTTGGACATGGGGAGTGCGAGGATGCCTGTTCTGTTTGGTCGCCTGCTGTAAATTGCCCTGGCTTCCGCCCGCGCTGAGCCTTGGCCTGATTGCGGTCGCGCAAACGCTGCCGTAGTCCAAGAGCGCAAAGCCAGAGGCGAGTGTGTGGCGCGGGCCTTCGTTGTAGCGTGGGCCTTCGGTTGATCCCGGCGGGACGGCTGCTTGGAGTTGGCCCGCCAACCCAAACGTACACGGCATCTGGCCCATTGAGCAACATGGTGCGCCTCATCCAGGCGGACCTGCTAGCCTTGCTGGCTTATCTCGTTGTGCCCGTATGCACGCAATGGACACCGGGACCGGGCGCCTCTGCGTATCTGACCAGTCCCAGCTGGCGTTCCGACACCACGGCCCAGGGCACACACACCATCTTCAACGTTGCCGGCTTCAACACCAGCTATCCCATCCTAAACAACGACTACTACTACGACCACAGCCCCTTCTTCACAGATGCCAACTACATCAATGTGGCTGGCAATGCCGACGCGGTCGTTCACAACTTTTCACGTTTCTCGCTAGACGACGCTCGCTACCACGCGGAGCCCGGCAATGGTAGTGCCTCTGCTACCCTGCAAACGCTCCGCTACCTATTTCGTCTTGGAGCACCCGGTTCAAGCTATGATCGCAGCCAACTGCAGTCAACCCACGACTACCTCGAACTTTACGTGACGCTCTTCCTGTCCTCGGGTGTCTCCCAGCGTCTTCTCATGTTCTTGGCCGAGGGTGCTGATGACTCCCGCTTCGTGGTCAAGCAACCAGCAAGCCTGGCTGGCCTGGTCTTTGCACCAAACCAGCCCGCGTCCCGCCTCAGCCTTGCCACCAGCGTGCCAGAGACGCTTACTCACCTCCAATTCACTCTTGTGTACCGATCTACCGGTTACCAGGAGCTCCTGGTCTTTGGAGATCTCGCCGTGCTTGCCTGCACGACTCGAGGCTGCCCTTGCTATCCCGGCGAGTATTTTGGTGCCAATGGCTGCACACGCTGTCCTGCGGGCCGCTTCACGGCCGAGTGGAACGCCTCTAGCTGTGGCCCCTGCCCTGGCGACCTTGTTCCCAACGATGATCGGACCGGGTGTCGCTGCCCACCCTCGATGGTGCCTGCTCACCCCGGATCAGACACCACCTGCGCGCCCTGTCCAGCAGGAACGCGCCAACACTACATAGGCACAACCTGCTTTCCTTGCAGCACGGGCACGTTTTCAGCAACCACGGGTGCCACGTCATGCAGTCCCTGCACACCGCCTGCGGAACATCCGCAGGAACCCTGCCCACCCGGTCATCTCTTTCTTAATTGCACTGCTTCTCACGACCGAGGGTGCCGAGGTGCGCCCTTTCTCCCAGGCCAGCTCTGCCTGCCCCATACCATGCCCGTCTCCTGTCCTCCTCACTTGTCTTGCTCATGACCAACAGATGTTACGCCGCCGACACCTGTGCTGGTGGGCCGCGAGCAGCTGCAGCTGGTTACAAGTGAGGCAGGCCTTGCAGTTTATAAAGATGTCCAGGAGGCACGCACCGATCCATACGTGCTGCCCACAGTGGCGTACGTTGACGATCAACACGTCAACCTTTCTGCTGCCGCAGCTGTCTTACCCGATCCCTCTGCTGTTCATCTGGGTGCGCATCCCCTTCTCTACCCATCGACAGACTGTATGCCTTCTTGCTTCCCCCACGCTAACGTGCCTTAACCTTGCGCTTTTAGAACGTGTGGGCAATTACACGATCGAATTCTGGGCTTTGGATGCGACTGGCAATGCTGGCGTGGCGCAAGTGCTTGTGCTTGTCATAGATACCACTGCGCCAATGATATCGTTGTGCAACGGAACCCGCCTCACCAACGGCACCCGCTGGTGGATTCGCGCTGGCGAACCCGTTGCCCCACAGCTATACGATGTCTGTGCCTATGACATGACCCCGAGTCGCCCCCTTGTGCGCTCATTCGGAGACATGATACCTTTGCTGCCAAAACAACTCCCAGCCAATTTTTCTGTTCGCTACGTGGCACAAGATGACGTGGGGCATGTCACCATTGTCATCGTCACGGTGACCAGCCACGATCGAATACCACCCGAGCTTCGCCTTGTCGGCTCGGCGGACCTGCACGTGGAGGCTCAGCGCCATGACGACTCGGCCTTGATCTGGGAAGACCCTGGGGCCACCGCTTTGGACGCCGTGGATGCCATGCTCCACCCGAAAGCACCACCACCCGCTGTACAACGGGACATCATGAGTGTATCTTGGGGACCGACAGACGTGACGGGACCTGGTTGGTCGTGTCCGACCTTTTTCGAACCTTGGCATGTCGCAAGCGACACGCCGTCCATGTCCTCCACAACAATAGGGACACCACTGACATCAGCCACGACCCAGGCGCTCAATTCGAGCACCGCCCTTCCCCTTCAAGTGCTGCTGTCTGCCCCTCCCGGGACCGTGTACCAAATTCGCTATTCTGCCCGCGACCTGACGGGCAACGTCGCCACGGTCCATCGGGTTGTCACCATTCAGGATACCCAAGCGCCCGTCTTTCATGTCACCAGCCATTTGATCTGGTGGCATACTGATGAGGCACCAGGGATGCACCTCCCAAGCTTGAGCGTCGTGGATGCAGTTGATGGGCATCTCGAAGCAGCAGTGTGCGTGCGTGCAGCGCGCTTCTTGCCCGAACCCGCGGTGCCTCAGCCCCTAGTCGTGGCTGGACGAATTCCAGTTGATTATTCTGTTTCTTTGCGCAATGTGACCCCGGCGGCGCCAGCGGGCACGCTTTTTCAGCTCGAGTATCTTGTTGCAGATGCCCTTGGACATTTGGCATGGACCCAGCAATTGGTGGCTGTGGTGGACGTGCGAGCACCCCTCGTTGTCTTGCGCGGACCCACCATCACCCAGGTCCCCTATGGAACGCAATTCCGCGAACCTGGTTTTGTGGCGGCTGTAGGGGTCACCGTGACCGTGTCTGGCCTTGAGGAGCTGGATGTGTACCAGCCTGGCCGCTATGAGCTACTGTATGGGACCCTTGGCCGAGCGGTGGCGACGCGTTGGATTGACGTGGCCGAGTACAAGCGTCCAGCAGAGGAGGCCGTCGTCCGGCTGGAGCTGGAACGCAGCGTCGCTGCTGATACGCGGCGTCTATCTGAATTGGTGCAGTCGGCGTTGCCCGACTGGGGCTACATCATCCTCAATGACTGGCAAACAAACGGCAAGCGCCGCCGTGCACTCTCCAACATCCTGGAGCTGAGCGTGCGACGCAGGGACTCGAACTTCACTTCAGTCCCAGGCACGACCATCGCGTCGTGGCTGGCAGAGGGAGCAGCAGACCGTGCAACCTTTGAAGCTGCGTTGGGGGCGCACATCAACGTTGTTGCCACGTCGTCAACCTGGCTAGCAGCTTCCAATGGCAACCGTTCAAACGACTTGCCCGTGTGGGTGATTGGTGCTGCGGTTGCGGGAACATGCCTAGTATGTGCGCTAGTGTACCTGACGCGACAGCGGCGACGGCGGCGGCATCAACGGCCCCTCGTATCTGGCCGCCAGTACGACATGAGCAGCATGGATGTGGATGGGTGTTCGTTGTCCACGCCACTGTCGGAGCGACGATTCGCCGGCTCACACATGGTGACGGCCCCCCACCTTCGGGTGGCGTACCTACCTGGGTTTGAGCATTCGAATTCGTCGGCGTGGGAGAGTGGAACGGATAGCAGCGTGCTGCCGGGACCGCCCGTGGCGCCTCGGCCTTCTACAAGCTTGAGCACTCCATCTTTTGGGGAATACGCAGCGCTGGACGATGCGCCGGTGGTTGAGCTGCCTGAGTACGCCGAGCCAGACGAGGTGTCTGCACCGGCTGTCATCGTTCATGACTTGCACGAATACGAGTACGCGCCCTCGGGTGGGGCGTTGACACGACGGGCAACCCAGGTCGAGTATGCCTATGCCGAGTCCTTTGAGGCATCGCGACCCTCAAGCGTCGCCACTGACAGTATGTATGAGACCCCAACACCGCGCGCAAGTAGCCATGATGGCACCAACGAGCACGATCACTCGGCAGCTGAGTGTGCAGCCACCACCCCGGACAATGGCAATCCGCATGCCGGCGAGGGAGACTTTGATGAACCACTTTACCAGGAAGTCCCACCGCCGCTGCCGCTGCGTCAACCCGCGCTTTCCACTGTAGTCGAAGGGTTACTATGCGATGCAGGTTCACTTGAAGGAATCAATGTTGCTGTTGACGCTAGTCACGAGCAGTTAAGTGAGAGCCAGCATGCGAGTTTGCGCGATGTTCTCAGCCCAGCCGAAAGTGACCACACACAGCCAGAAAAGGACCAGCCGCTGAGCCAGAGAGACTGTTTCCTGCCTCCGACGTGTGCCTCCCCCCCTGTCCTGCGCTTCGAGCAGCCCTACGATGAAGCCCATCAGCCGAGTTTGAGCATGCTAGAGGGCGACCCGAGTAGCTAGCCTGATGTTGTGTGTACCGTCCCTCTCATAAGTTATCATTATTATTGGCGATGAAACTGTATTCGAATCGACCGGCGTGGCAGCGCTTGGTGACTCTTTGAACTTTCACTTGGGTGCCAGCGACAGTCTCCCCCCCCCCCCTACCCTTGTCTCTCTCTACATACATGCGAACCAGCCTTCTGCATTATGGTTTTTAGAAGTTTCCCATAACAATTCACTGTTCACATGAAAGAGAGAGACAGAGAGAGACAGAGAGAGACAGAGAGAGACAGAGAGAGACAGAGAGAGACAGAGAGAGACAGAGAGAGACAGAGAGAGACAGAGAGAGACAGAGAGAGACAGAGAGACAGAGAGAGACAGAGAGACAGAGGGCGAGACAGGGACAGAGACAAAGAGAGACAGAGGGAGAGACAGGACAGGGACAGAGAGGGAGACAGGGACAGAGACAGAGAGAGAGACAGAGACAGAGAGACAGTCAAAAAAAAAAAAAAAAAAAAAAAAAAAAAAGACAGAAAAAGACAGAAGAGATGACGCAATCAAACGTTATCCATATTATTTTTTTTTTGCTTGCGTGATCATTTAACGCAGCAGAGGGGATGCCCCTTTGAATCATACGCGCGCTTCTGCTCTGACACACCTCTTTTTTCCTCTTCTCGTCTTCCGGTCTCAATGCTTGCCTCGATCTCGGGGAGATGGCAGCAGCGGTCACAACCGGCTGTTGTTCGAGCTGGTCTCGGCGCCGGCGCCGGTCTTGGGCAGGGTTATCCATGGTAGTAGTTGTGCTCTTCTTTGTGTGGATCGTGACATGCCATGCCCAAAACACCTCTGCTCCTCCGGTTAGCAGCTCGATGGCGCCGAGAACGCCTACTTCCCCAATCGGCGAAACCCAGGTGCGGATGCGGGCCGTGCTCACGGCGCAGGAGGCGCTGCTTGAGAATCTGCGCTCCGCCTTGGCTGCTAGCTGGACCGACATGCTGTGCGGCTCCAAGGTGAGTTATGTCGCTTGGTGGGTTGGAAGCGTGATTCGAGTGGGTTGGTCTGCTTTCATGTCGCGCGGTCCATTGTACTGCGTAGATCTGCACAGGCTGTGTGGCACTGGCCTGCGAGTCGGTGCTGGCCGACAAGTCTTGTGCTACCAGCTATGGTGGATGTTCTAGCGTCACCAACGGCACCAACAGACTCCTCAGCTTCACCTCTTCTACGGTCACCACCGTGTCGAACCCACACGGGCCAGACCGCTCAGCCATGGAGCTTCGGCGAGACATGTGCCTGTTCGAGGATGTCAAGCCCGACAACGATCATCCAGTATTTGGTATTCCAGACCCTTCCGTCGGTAACGCCACGACGCGTCTCCAGGAGAACACGGAAGCTGCTCTCAAGTGGCAGTTTGCTGCGTCGCCTCGAGGCGTCTTTCGCGCCTACCCCGGGCATGCGCAGGAGACATGCTATGCATGTGCGTGCGTCGTGTTATTGCCGGCGCTTCCTGATCCAGAGCGCTTGGCACCTTCAAGTCCTCACTCGTTTTTTTGCCGATCGGGGCCTGCACCAATTATTGGGACTGCACAAAACTAGATGACCCGCGTTTCACACCGTGGTATGCAGCTGCTGCCTCGGGTCCTAAAGACGTGGTGCTGGTGCGTCTATTCGTGACCTACTCACGGGGATATGTGAGCGAGAGCATTGGAATCAACCTCAATTATGCTTGAATCTGGTAGATTTTGGATGTCTCGGGCTCGATGGTGGAGCAGGGACGGATGGTTCGTACTACTGCGGCTTGTGACGTGCACGTCCACTGTGTTTGTGTTTGTGTGGTCCCTCAAATTTTGTGGCGGCCATGACGGCTCTGCTTGACCTGTGAACCACAGAATGCACTGCGCCGTGCCGCCCTGGAGGTTCTAAAGACACTGAGCTTGGCAGATTACTTTGGCGTGGTGCTTTTCAATGACGATGCCTACCAGGTGCGAACCAATGTTTGTTTCATCGCGCTCCTCTGCGAGGATTGCAAACCTGTCTCGTTGTTTGGTTGGCTTTCTGATTCTTTTGCGCAATGTTGGCGTCCATGAACCGCCCACCATTTCCGACTGGTGGTGCTGATGTTGTCGGGTGGCACAGCTTCGTGTGGCTGGGCAAGAGCCCAATCAGCTGGTGCAGGCAACGCGCTACAACATTGATGCCATGATAGAGTTGCTGGCGTCCGTCGTCCCCAGTGGCGAGACCAACTACCAGGCGGCTGTGCAGGAAGGTTATGCCTTGCTGCGGCTCACCAGGGCATCTTCTGGTTGCCATCGTGCCTTGCTCTTTGCTACGGTGCGTGACATTGAGTTGTCGTCCCGTTGATGTTGGCATGGCGTGGCGTCCTTGTGGAGCAAGCACGCCTGATGAGATGGCCCTGGTTATCTGGTGTAGGACGGTCGACCCAGCGTTGGCCCCACCTCGAGCAATGACCTGGCGGAGATGGTTCGGATGGAGAGCGCTGCTGTGGAAGCGGCTGTTGGTCAGAGACCGCATTTGTGGACCTATAGTCTGGGCCCAGCAGCCTCGCACAGTGTTCCGGCAGCCATGGCTTGTGCTGGCGGAGGGGTTTGGAGCCGTGTGGCGGATCGCAACACCACAGCTTTGATTCAGCAAATGGTGCACTTTTACGACTTTTTCGCAATGACGCACAGTGGCACTTCGACGCCCACATGGCTCGAGCCTCACGCCGCCTCCCCAGGCACGGTAGGTAGGGCGCTGGCTTGCTCATCGTGCAGTTGGCCACATCAAAGGTCTGTGCATACGTGGCTAATGTGCGGACATGATCCTGAACCGTGGTGTGGATAGATGACCACAGTTGCCCAAGCGTTGTTCGACGAGTCCACGACTCCAGCCACTCTGGTAGCGGTGGTGGGAATGGATTTTCGGACATCGGAGCTCACGGCCATTTCTACATCGAGGATGGCTCAGCTGCTGGCGCTGCATGCTCGCTCGCAGACATGTGTACAACCGGCTCACGTAGCTGCACAAGCATGCGTGCTGCAGCGTTTACGTTGGGCCCAGGGCTATCAATGCGCTGCCGATGCCGATTTGAACTGTTCCGTGGATGTCCCGTCTTGTCCCCGGAACCCGGTGGCCATGGTGCCTGAGCCCATGACTGACTCTTTGTGCAGTGCGACACGGGATTCTTACGATGCTGAGGTTGGTGTGGCCCAAAGGCATGACGCGGGCCTGATTCGGGGGCATTTCTCACGTGCCTGCGAACCCTCTCTCCCGCGCTCGCAAATGTGTACAGGCCTGTGATGGTTGTTTCAAGGTGGATGGGAGTGGAAGCGAGACGCCGTCGTGGTTGGACACACTGGTCTCGACTCTTGCGTTTGCAGCCTTGGTCTTGTTCACGCTGGGGTGTTGGGTACGTTTGCGCCGGGCACCAAATCTTTCATAGGGCGCAATTTTGAGGATTTATCGCGACCCAACCCATGCGTGATCCCCCCCCCCCACACTTTTTTTTTCTGTGCCTGGCGGGTGCGTAGAATTTGTGCAAGGGCAATTGGCGATGCCAGTGCCTCCGACGTTGCACGCACCGACCCCTACAGGATACAGGAACATCTGGGAATGCACGCGCACGTGAGATAGTCCACCCGCCTCCAGCCGTGATTGAGCCGCTTTTTGGACCCTGGTACGAAGTCCAGTTGGACGACAGCGACGCAAACAGCGACAGGGATGATGACCTCGGCGATGGCGACCTTGACGCTCCACCAAGCTATGATAGCATTGCATTTGAAGCAGGGCCGACACCGCCTCCATATGATTCGCACGCTTCAACCCGAGAGTCGAGCGTCTGAGCCCCAGCCCCATGCTCTACGACCCCAGAGCCAAGGGCCCAAGCGCCAACAGCAGTGCTTCCGCTCATGCGCACCATCTCTCTCGCCTCACACCACACAATGTACACCTTGTCCAACTGTGGCCAGTAGCACATGCTAGCCCTTGTCGTGCCGCGTGTCGTATCAAAATGAAGACTTAAGAGTATGATCTTGCATAGCGTTGAAGCCATAACATCAAAGCCATAGCGTTGCAGCCACAGCATAAAAGCCAAAGAAGCCAAGCCGCCGTAGCGTTGAAGCCAAGCCGCCATGGCGTATCATGAGTGCATCAGGATAACAACAACTTGTACAACGGCTAAATTGTAAGAAAAAGTTGTCATCAACAAAGTTCGTTTTCCTCGAACAGTTAGTGGACGAACGGCGGCGACTTGATGATGAAGGCGTATGGAGCACGGTGGCGGCGGCGGTTTGGCGTTGCCCTGGGGGTGGTGGCTCTGGTGGGGCTGACGGGGCTTGTTCAGGCTGCCCCTGTTGAGAATGTGAACATCCGCACGACCAATTGTGAGGACATTAGTTTTAGCGTGATTGAGGCACCCAATGCAGATAGCCCGTTGCCTGGCTATCAGATTGTGCTTGACGACCCCGTTCGGCAGCCAGAGGATGGCTTTATACCGGGTAACCCGATTGTCTTTGGCCTCATGATTACGGGCAAGGACCTCTACCACGAATACCTGGGCCGCAAGTCCATGGACTGTTTCCTCAACCAGACCTATGACCGCAAGGTTTTGATCGTTGTCAATGACTCGCCAGAGTATAGCATGGTCGACGGTCCCAGCGAGTGGCTCCGTGCGCGGCAGTTGCCTGAGCCACCTCGAGAGAGGTCATGCGTAGTCGAACTGCGGGTGCCTCCCCGCCAATTCGTACTGGGAGACCTGCGCAACATTGCCATCAATGCCGTTCCCTTGGGGGCGGTGTGGGTCCAATGGGACGACGATGGTGCGCTCGCTCATGGCGCCCCGCTTCTTCTATTTTTTTTCTTTTTCTTTTTTTGTGCATGACTTGACGATGCCCAGCCCAGTTACCCCTGTGCGCTTGCTTTGTGTGGCTCATTTTGAAACTTTGTGCGCTCTGCGGTCATATGCCATTAGACTGGCGTGGGTCGCACTTTGTTCGCTTAGAACTTGAGAACATGTTCAAGCGTCACGCCCTGGTGGGTTACATGGCAGCCGAGTATAACCTGTACATGCAGCTCAACAGCACTTGGCGCTTTACCAGTAAGTCATGCCGCCTGTTCCCCCTTGACTCTTGAACGACCTCGAGGAGGCCCTACGTCTTTAGCGAGTGCGAATATCTTTCATGACTGCATCCACCCGTTCTCGCCCCGGCAAAAAAAAACAGACCCACAAGGGTTGCACGGAACCATCATGGCCTACAAGTCTTCCCAGATTGCGGAGCTACAATACCCCAGCCTGGGGCGAGCCGAGGACTCCAAGTTTTGGAACCAGCTACGGGAGAACAAGATTTCGCACACTTCATTGAACAACGACCCTTGGCTCTACTTTAAGCTGTTTCATGGAACAAACACCTGGGGTGCTGCGCATGCCGGGCAGCAGCGCGGCCAAAACGATGTGTGGTGTACGCGCGACGAGGGTTTTGGCTGCGACAAAGAAACGGCCAATGAGTACCACCGGTTTGTTCTCAGCGTTTATCGTGACTGGCACCAGGTCTTTGGTGTCGATCCCACCACTGCAGCCTGAATCGTGTTGTGAATCGAGTCTTGAGTGATATTCAAACCATCAAACCTCAGACAACCGACCAACTTGCCCCGGGGCACTATTCTACCCTGCGACAGGCATTCAACAGAGTGGGGCGGGCGTACGTTTTGAACGTACAAAGAATCCAGCGAACCCTCTTTTCCAGTACCCCTTCCTGGCATTCGAGCAGTTGGTGCCGTCTGCCTGCAATGTGAGCCATGCCTCGGGCGATGACAATCACTTTGCATGTGGTGGTCATTGATGACAGCCAAATAGCTCGTTTGGATGTTCGAGAGGTCTCACCAGAGCCCGTGAGTAGCCGGCACCAATCTTTTTTCCCTCGCACCGGCACACCACCTCGACTCGCCATCCCCCTCGGCCCAGTTGTCCTTCCTCCCTGTATCATCTGTTCACTGGCTCTCTCTCTCTGTCTCTGTCTTTGTCTCTGTCTCTGGTCTCTGCCGATCTCTCTCTCTCTCTTTCTCTGCTGTGCCTCTTGCTGTTTATCACTCTCTCCCTCTCTCTCTCTCTCTCTCTCTCTCTCTGCCTTTGCTGTTTATGCCTTGCTCATCAACCAAACCAATTCATCTCTCTTTTTCATCTCTCTCTCTTTTCAGCTCTCTCTCTCTTTTTCATCTCTCTCTCTTTTTATCTCTCTTTCTCTCTTTCATCTCTCTCTCTTTTTATCTCTCTTTCAGCTCTCTCTCTTTCATCTCTCTGTCTTCTCTCTCTATCTCTCTGTTCTCTTCTCTGACACAAGCACCAAGACAAAAGAAGACACGTGTGCATTGCTTTTCATTGCGGTTTCTTCGATTGGTACTGTCTTTATGCGTTTATGCCTCTGGTTTTCTTCTGAGCAGAAGAGCTTCTCTAAAGTTGTTTCAAGCGTCATCACAATCTCTGGCTCCTGCTTGCATCTCTGCCTGTGTCGAAAAGCCTACCATTGCCTATCTCTGCATATTGGCCGTCTTGGGATCCATCCTGTCGTTTCTCGCTCAGCAGGCGTTCGTCTCTGCTTCGCCTTGGTCATTCCCATTTTTTTCGAATCGTGTGACGGTACGGCAGCGCATCGTGTGACCGAGTGAATGCGGCCTTGAACACTAAGAAAGAGAACATGGCGCGCATTGAGGGGAGCGGGGTGCACCTTGGCAGTCACACAAAGGCACACTGCTGAAGCAGGGTCTTCACGTGTGCAGCCGCCCGCGTTTCTGCGACCACTTGCCCTTTTGCACGCTCACACGACACTTGGCTGTCGTCTTGCTATAGTAGTTGCCGCTTTGCCCTCCCCGTCGCGAGCAATCAGGATCAAACTATCACCCAGACCAACAGTACGTGCACGGCGCTGGCGACACTGGAAATGCTCCGTCACTTGCATCGACGTTGAAACTCACTGGATGTGATATTGTAGACAATGGCCAACGTTCCCGAGGTGCAGCAGCTCGAGCAGAGCGTCAACGATGCCGTGGAGAAGCTCGAAGTTCAGTCTCGCGAAGTCATGCGCAAGGAGTTTGAGTGCAGCGCTCGCTGTGCCAGCAACACGTCGCTCAAGACGGCTGATTACCATCAGTGCCTGACCAGCTGTGGTCAGGGCACTCAGGCCGTCGCCGTGACCATCCAGAATGAGCTCAACTCCCTGCAGGTTGGTTGCAATTGAGTGAATGATGCTTCTGGCCCATGCTTGGGCGTCGCAGATCCAAGGGCTGCAGCCTCGAGCCTCGAATCCCTTTTTTGCTTGAATCTGTCCAGCTCACCCAAAGGACTGTGTCTGATCACACCCTCATGCTCCATAGAACCAATTTATCACATGCATCAACTCCTGCGCCAACGCGGGCAATCAGGCTGAATGCCAGGCCCAGTGCGCCAAGGACAGCATGACCACCATTCCGGCATTTGTGCAGCGCGTGCAGGCCGTCATCTCAAAATACAACTAGAAGCTGGCAAGGAGCATCAGACCTGCCCCCCCCCGCCCAGCCTTTCTCCAGAGCTCACTCATGAGGAACAAGTTGATGTCCAAAAGAGCCATTGCGCTAACGCTCTCGCGTCCAGCCTTTTTTTTTTTTCACCTTCCCTTGGCCCTTCATGCGGGCCTTGAGCTTCCACCCAGGGTTTCCTGCCTTTGTTCTTTTGGTGCCTCCCATCCCCATCCTGTGTCTGTGACCGAATTGAGCTCCCGAGAATACCCGAAAAAAGCCAAGCCAAGCCTCTGCCCTGCCCCTCCTCCTCTTCTGCTCGGCCAACCTCCTGCCAACCCCCTTTCTCTCCCCAATCCCGCCTCCGCCTCCTCCGCTGCTTGAAATCATGGCTTCTTTTTGTCTGACAAACTGATTCACACTGTGACCAAGAACACACACACAGAGTCTCTTGATCTATCAGCCATACCCTCCCCAACACCCCTCTCTCTCTCTCTCTCTCTCTCTCTCTCTCTCTCTCTCTCTCTCTCTCTCTCTCTCTCTCTCTCTCTCTCTCTCTCTCTCTCTCTCT